TTTTGCTTGTCTTTACTCACTCTTTTTTCTGGGGATGCTTCGAAGCGCTTTGCAATATTTAATCCGCGCTTGACTTGGAGGTGGATAAAAGTTTCCAACTGCATGTCCTGCGGAGTCAGATCAGTACTGTAGGAGGCCTTCAACTGATATTCATATTGGTGTCAAAATTCCTAGCAAAAGCTCAACAGAAGTACTTCTTGTCTTACGTGACTACGCGAAGATTTATTTCGACCCCTCTCAGTGCTTTCGGAGCATTTCTTCTACTTGTTGTAATATGAAGCATCTACCTGAAATTACGAATTTCTTTGCGGCTAACCTATGTAAGATAGACGTTTGTTCAAGTACGTCCCCTCACAATTTCCAGCGTTCAACAGCCTAGTCCCTGAAGGCTTCGCTCACGATTATTTTGAAGCCCCCTTTTCAAGTTAGATAAGTCTTGGTGCAGATTATTGCATTGGTGACGAAAGAAACCTGACAATCCGCAGAGCTGCAAAAGATAGAGGTTCTCAAAATAAATCAAAGTAAGAGGTTAAAAGCCCGTTCACGATGATTTTGAGGTACTCTCTTTAAACTGAAAAGCGAAAGTATAGGTTGGGAATAGCTCGTCGGTAGTGGAGAAAGCGAGGAAATTTCGAGAGTAATAAGGCTTCTCAAAAGTAGGGAAAGTAGAGGTCGGACGAGTTCACCGTGACGGAAATACCATGGAAGAGGTAGTCGGACGAGATTTCAGTTTTTGCAAGAATAGCTGACTATATCGAGCTAGAACTGAACTGAATTGTCTTTCACTGTCGCTGTGGGTCATGAAAGTTGTTTGAGTTTCCTACATGGGTCCCCTTGTGATTGGTGCAGCCTTAAGTTGCCGGTGAAACTCGTCCGAGGATACACGCTGGACAATCTTTGAGCCTTTATAAGCCCCTATCTAGGTCGCTTTTCAAAGTGACAGCGCCACATGTCGTATACGAGGGCCCGCAAATTTACCCTCGGTGAATATCTCATGAGCCATTTTATCGTGAACGGGCCTTCAAGCAAGTTTATGGAAGTAGTACGGAAGGCGCATTTGGACGATATTTCAGCAGCGTGTAATCGCGTAAGGAGCTGGCTACAGTAAATGAAAAATGCCTGCAACTGTTTCCACCCTCGCCATTCGACTGAAGCTCAGATGTTCAATTTTTCAGCATACTTTATGCACCATTCAGAACGGAGGACTTATGATGAAACGGCCACTCCTGGGTTCGGTATACAACAGAAGCAATCTTTAGGCCCTCACTACCTAATGTTATTCAATCCGACAAGGCCCATAAGCCCTCGTCAGGGGCTATTGTCGGATTGGAAGTGTCGTCCATGTACTAAATCTCAAAACCGTTTTCATCGTGGGCCGTGCCTCTCTATCGCTACCTCTACCATTAGCAAATCGCTGCCTTGTATTGTATGTGTATTTGTAAGCATTGAAGGTTGTACTAATGGCTCCCTGTCTTGATCCAATTTTCGTGTATCCGCTCATACTATTTCAATGATGGCGGATTTTACTGATACATAACACTCGTTAAATGTTTAGACACAAGAATAAGTGAATGTTACTATATTTACAGCATGGCGGTAGTCAACAATCCGAAGGAGGTACTCGCCATGTTGGACTGCATCGACTCAATGGTTGATGTGCTGGCGTATCTTCACGAATCACGACGAAAGCGTCGCACATACGTCCGTCCAGAGCATGTACCCTTCCTGGAAACGCGATTCCGCGACTTCGATGAGTATCTCTCCTCGCAAACGCCTGAGGCGTTTCTCGAGTACACAAGGCTGACGCCTGAAGAATTTGAGGGCTTGTTTGAACATATCGGCGGTCGGCTTCATCATGCTTCTACTCATGCTGCTCCCATTGGTGCTCGACAACGAATGTGTGTGTATTTGAGGTGTGTTTATTCCCTGAGTGTGTTCAAAGTTGAAATCAGAACTAAATTTATTTTCAAGGTGGGAGGGAGTAGAACTTTGGCTTGAAGTTGCTATTATAAACCAATGTCTGCGGGTGGAAAGTCTGGTTTGCAAACTCCTTTTGGGTTTCAGGAAATTTTCTTGGTTAGAAAGGCCATAGAGAGACCCAT